GCGCCTTCTCCGGCTGAGATTGAGGGTCCCGCGGTTTCTCCGTCGAGTGGTGCGGCGAGTTTTAATGTTGGGTTTTTAGCGGCGGTTGTCGGAATCTTGGGTCTTGGAGTTGGTTTCCTCTGAGGATTGGCCACAGAATTTGGGATTTTTTTGGGCAGTGATTTGAGTTACATTTGGATGTAGCTCAACAATCCATTTGGATTATTCAAACATTTTATTAAAAAAATTTTCAGTTGATTAACTAATTTAGAGAATAATCATAGATTTATAAATTTAGAAATCGATCGTGTGGAGTTAAAGTAAACATAAATAAGGAAAAACATCTGACCGCTCTATTGGTATGAGATCTGCTACGTCATTGTGGAGATCTGTAATTCCTAACTTAGTATCATAATCATACTAAACAAAAAAGTTGAAGGTATAGTCAAACTTGGTGACAAACAAAAGGGTCATTTGGATCAACATATCAATAGAATTTCTAGTTAAAAGTGACGGAAGTATCAAACAAAACCGTGCACTTTCTTTGAGGGTTTTATAAGTCTCAAGACAGGCTCTATGGGCGCACTTTGTTCGAGGACTCCATAAATGTAAAGACAAGTTTTATGAGTGCGCTTTGTTCGATGGCTCTAGAAGCGAACAAGATTCTAGTGTGTAGTAAAATGATTTACTTCCAATTAATTAATCCATTTTAATTTTAAATTATTAAATAAAAGTAATTCAATAGACTTTAATTGGTTTGAATTTGACTCTATTTCTTGGAATACAACAACTAAAACTGTCGGGAATTTTATATAAGCAAGTAGCGGGAGGAGTTGAGCAAATCCATTATTTAAATTAATTAATTAAATTAACCTGAATTAACCAGAGGAGCCGTCTTCTCTTCTTAACTAAGTCAATGGGCAATAATAGATCTACGAAGCTCCAAAGATGGCGAAACGACCAAATTCCGATCCATCCGACAGCAACAAACTCCTCTCAATCATGGCACAGCCATTCCGGTGGCTTAAAATGCTCTCATCGGAGCTAAACCCGAGTTTCATCGCCGGCGTGGTGCTCGTCTACGGCTTAAGCCACGGCTTCTCCGGCTCCTATTTCAAAGTCGTCTCCGATTACTATTGGAAAGACGTGCAGAAGCTACAGCCGTCGGTGGTTCAGATCTACATCGGGATTTACACGATTCCATGGGTGATGAAGCCGATTTGGGGGCTGTTGACGGACGCGTTTCCGGTGAGAGGGTACCTACGGAGGCCGTATTTCGTGATTGCGGGGGTGGTTGGGACGGCGTCGGCGGTGGCGGTGGCGGTGAAGGAAGGATTGGGGATTTTGGGAGCTCTAGGGCTTTTGATTGGGATTTCGACGGCGATGGCGATTGCGGATGTGACGGTCGATGCTTGCATTGTGCGGAGTAGCATTGAAGTGCGGTGGTTGGCGCAGGATTTGCAGAGCCTGTGTGGGGCTTGCTCTTCCATTGGCCATTTGATTGGGTATTCCACCAGTGGCGTTTTTGTTCATCTCCTCGGCGCTCAGGTCTGTAAAAACTAAAAAATAATATGAAAATACATGAAAATAAAAATGTAAAATGACGGTTTTCTCCTTGGTCCTTATGACTTCTTATTTTGCAGTTTAGTCCTTGAATTAGTTACTAATTACTAAGAAGCTAATGTGCAGGAAGCACTTGGGATCCTGGCAATTCCCCCGGCCATGATAATTGTGTTGGGCTTCTTCATACATGAGCCACGCTCCTCCACCCTCCAATCTTATGGGAAGCCCAAGGTCTATTTCTCCCTAAAATACCCTCAACTTTTTATTTATTTATTTAATATATATATTAGAGTTATATTGTTTATAAATATTCAAAACTATATTTAAAATAAAAACGTCCCAATTTTTTTACACGTGTGTTTGAAATGACCCAATTAGGGTTTCGATTTTAAGTTCGTACCTACATTGTTTTCGCTCTTTTTCTTCGAAATTTGAGTCAAAATATCCAAATATGAACATTCCCCACAACAATGTTTTAAAATATCAATTTTTTTTTTTACGTGCATATTTGGAACGACCTAATTGAGATTTTGATTTTAAGCACGTATGCACACTTTTATAGGTTATATTTCTTCAAAATTTGAATTTATTAAAATTTAGAATCAGATTAAAAAAATAGATGATTTATAATAAAAAATGGGACCCAACCAGCCTCATTTTTTATTTAAAAATTATAAAGTACTTTTATGTAATTTTCAAATAAATAAAAAATTAAAGATAATACGACAAGATTTAAAAGAATTAAAGTATTTAGAAAATGGCAAATCACGTGTTTAAAATAATGTAAAATAAATTTAATTCATAATATATATATGCAGGGAGAGTCTTTGAAGCACGTGGGAGTGGCCATAAGAGACACGTGCAAAGCCATCAAATGTCCGCACGTGTGGAAGCCTGCGCTTTTCATGTTCCTCTGTCTCTCTCTCAGTATAAGTACTCACGAGGGCCAATTCTATTGGTACACGGACAAGAAAGCCGGTCCAGCCTTCTCTCAGGTCTTCGACATGTCGTTTATAGCCTTCTACTCCTATTGAGTACAAACGTCATGTCGTTTTCTTTAACAATCTCTTGCTTTATACTCGCAGGAATCGGTGGGGCTCATTTACGCAGTCGGCTCAGCGGCGTCTCTAATCGGAGTACTAATCTACCACAAAACGCTCAGAGACGTAAAATTCCGACGAATCCTCTTCTTCGCTCAGCTTTTCTACGGCGTCGCCGGACTTCTCGATGTCGTTTTCATCCTCCGGTGGAATTTAGCCCTAAAAATTCCGGATGAGTTATTCGTCGTCTTGGAAGAGTGCGTTTCTCGAATCGTGTCGCGAATCCGATGGACGCCGATGATGGTTCTGAACACTCGACTCTGTTCCGTAGGGATCGAAGGAACGTTCTTCGCATTATTGGCGTGTATTGATAGCCTTGGCATGCTGTGCTCGAAATGGAGCGGCGGATTGGTGCTTCATGCTTTTGGAGTCACGAGGAGTGATTTTAGGAACCTTTGGTTGGTGGTTCTGCTTCGGAGTCTGCTGAGATTTGTGGTTCTGGCGTTCGTTTTTCTTGTTCCTGATGCAAGTCAGTCGGACATTTTGGTTCCGTCCGATCAGACGATGAGTAGAAAAAGTTCGACGACTGTGGAGGAAGATGGCGATAGTATTCCTCTTGTCTCCATGAAAGGAGAGAGCCGAGGTTAGTGCGTTGGCAAGTCGGATTTGATGAGTAAGAGGAATGCTGTGCGAGTTCGGGAAGGCATAGAAACGAGTGTATAATTTTGATGAGGAAGAACGTCAATGTTTAGGTAACAAGGTTATAATTTGGTGTTATTATAATTTTCAAATTTTATACTTTTAACCAGATATTAAGACAAATTTCCACCAAATATCTGCTAGCAGTAAATCTTGATTAGAATTTGACTCTAACAGGAGGGCCGTACCTTTTTTAAATTTAAGAGACAATTATAAAATTTAATAAATTTGTAGATAATAGGTCAAAATAATAAAGAGCGCATAATTCAATGAATTATTTTCTATAAAACTTCAATTCCTCCACCATAATTGTGTTTATAATAATAACAACATTAAGTAAATCGCTAATTTTCACAAATTTTGTAGAAATTAAAAAAAAATTAATTTTTGTTGATAGAATCCTCTATTTTAGCCGTCAATTATGTGGGCTAATTAGCACCAAGAAATTAGAGGATAAATTAATGTCTTAAATGGTTGCGTTGAGAATAAATAAAATAAAATAAAATAAAAATTATAAATAGATGGATGACTGTGCTATATGGTCAGTTCTACTCTCAATTCATTATCGGTCGGCATTGCCTGCGCGCGCGCTCTCTCTCTCTCTCTCTCTCACTGACCGTCGTTTCGCTGAAACACGCCTTGTGTGAGCTTGCTAGAAGCTGAGGTTCTCTACCGTTTCTCATGGTAATTTATAGGCTTTTTTGACGTTTTTCTTTCTACTTTACTATTTCGTTCGTTTCAATTGAGTAAGCCTCAATTTCACGCTTCCAAGACGAATTTTTCGTCTCCACTTATTTGAATTTTTTAGGGTTTCCTTACCGATCTGAAACTCGTCCTAATGTATGCGATTTTGAAGTATTCATCCTCTCACTGTGTTTATCATCTCAATGAACTTATCAAATTGTAAGTGTAAGTCTTTCTATGCCCTTCCCCTGCCTCCTGGCTAAATTAGTTCGACCCTCAGATTTAAGGGTTAGGGATTTTTTTTCTTTAAAAAAAAGTAATTTCCATGAGGTACACTGGAACCAGTACAGTTTTGCTCGGAATTAGTTTTGATAGTGTTGTGCGAGTAAAGCTTGTAATTGAACTTGATATCTTTAGACAGAAAGAGTGCGTTGGAATTATTGATTAGTGCTTTAACATGTGATAAGTGTAAACGCTTTTATGTTGTGCTCAAGAAGTAGAAGATGGTTGCACGGTTGAGCTTGCTCTTTGATTAAACATTAGGCTTCCTTTTAACATTCGAAACAATTGTTTGCTGAATATCACTTTCCATGTTCTGGTTTAAGTTTAAATTACAGTGAACCCATCAACATAGAGAGGATAGTTGTTGATTCCTTATAGTAAGATTTCATTCTTGCTTACATTTCAATATCTTGTTTTGATCCGTTGTCCGATTGTCTTGGCAACGGGTTATTTTCATTACATAGTATGAGCATGAAGCTATGATTTGATCTTGAAAAACTTACTCTGAAGGACCATCTTCCTTTGTCTAAGTTGTAGTTTGATTTTTAATTTTCCTTTTATATTATATAAGGAGGTGATTTTCTGATGAGTTACATCCACATCTCTTGTTGAGTTTTTTAATCAATCATATTCCTTATCTCATTCTCCTTCAGGCTAACAGGCATACCATCCTTCTCATGCAAACATCGCAGAGCAGGGCAACTAGGACTTTTATGGATTTTGATTCAATAAGTCAAGCTATGGACGGTATGATTTAGCATTATATTAAAATTTATTTTATCACCTACCGTTGCTGGGCTAGCAAATTTAATCACCTGTCGAACTTAACAAAATATCTTAATATTGATAAAGTAAAGAAGATGTTGGGTGGGGGGAATGAACGATCAAGAAGGGTTTTAAAAAGCTATGTAGGTTTATTAATTAAGTAACCAAAATAGTTTCATACGGTAGCATCTGAAGGATTAGTTTAACTTGTCACATAAGAGGAATTCGTCTCGTTTGCTTTGGTGTCTTGTGACAGTTTAGGACTTTTTCATGCATGCTTGGATCATACACGGTTCTATCCACATATTCACATAATTATGGAGTTCTAAATTTTTACTTCAAAGCTAATATTAAGTTCACCCACCTATATTTACTGATGAGTGATGCAATATAATATAGAACTCAACGCTGCACCTTTAGAGCATTATTACAGGTTTAGGTGTGTCTCCTTTTTTCATTTATTTCTAACTCAAACTCATTACTTATTAATTGTTGGCATATTGCCTGCTAACAATTGAAGTGGTGTAACCTTCGTTTTTTCTTTATAATGTATTATTATGTATATATTTCTTCAATGATTATTAGGAAGCTTGGGTATTCTTCTAATTGTTTCTTAATTGACTCCCATTTCCTGCAAATTATTTATCCAGAAAAGCCAACTATTGATCATTGAAGGATTTGAAAATTAATCATAATTTAGACCATATCATAAAACAGCAAGCAGAAAACAAGTTATTAGAAAAAGTCGGTGCAGGATCTGATATCTACTAAGTAGACGTGGGTGGCTTATAACGAGTCCACTATGGTAACCGTCCGATGGTCGAGGAAGGAGCATTGTATCTTTTGCATTCTTATAAAGTTTTTAAACTATAATTCAACAAATGTTTTAGCCATTTAGCCCTTTAAATTTTAATGGTAAGTTCATGTCTCATTGGTTGCACCATCTGAACAACCTTTGCAAAGGAGATGTGCAAAGAAGATCAAGAATAGCAAGATTTGTTATTAACTTGCCCGGACACTTGTGGGTATTGAAAGACTAGAAAGATGGATGTATGGAAAAGAGACATAATATTAGAAGTAGAGAAAAAATGTATTTAGTTTGAAAATTTAACTTACTGAATTTTCCATTTTACCTTTGAACTGCTGGTACAGGTATATGTGGGCTATATGAAAGGAAGCTTAAGGACTTAAATCCAGCCATCAGAAATATTACTTATGATATTGCAGATCTCTACAACTTCATTGATGGCCTCACTGATATGAGTGCACTAGTGTATGCTTCCCTCTCTTTCTCACTCTTTCCCTTCACTCACCACTTATGAATAAATATCAAATAGTTCTGGTTGTTGGAAGAACAATTGTTTTGCCTACTATCTGCAAAATGGTTTTTAATTTTTTTGTATGAGCCGTATGGTGTTTAGGTTTTCCTTGTCGAAAATCAGGTTTTTTAAAGAAAATTTATTCTCTTTGATGTTGTTTTGCTTGTTCTTCTTTCAACTTAATTAAAACGTAATAACAGCAAAAATAACTATTGCGATCGATTGATGGTCGTCTGCAGAATAATATGACCAATGCCATGTGTTCATCACTAAGTTCCATTCTTATATTGTCATAGAATTCGCTTAAACAGGAATATCCAATGATATTTGGTAGAACAAAGAGAACTTATACTGCAAAGGGTTGATTATGTAAACCTTTTTTACCCTCGGCTGACAATTATATAGTACAAGGCATTTGAAAATTAAGATGTTCTCACGTTTTATTTACATATTCCTTGTGTAACAGTCTAAGCCCACCGCTAGCAAATATCGTGCTCTTTGGATTTTTCCTTTCGGACTTTCCCTTAAAGTTTTATTTACATACTTGGATCCATGCCTTACACTTTAAAACTCGAGAGAAAATTCAAAAAGGACAATATTTGCTAGCGGTGGGCTTGGGTCATTACACCATATTGTTAGGAGCAATAGACTGTATTCATTTTGAATTTAGTTAAGTCTATTCATTTTGAATTTAGTTAAGAACTTTGAGATAAGTAGCTTATCAAAACTCGTTTTTATTTTTAGAATTTAGTTAAGAATTCAAAATGTTTTGTTTAAGCATATCTGTCTATCTTTGATTATGAAGTTACGGTATGATATCTGATTTCCATACCCCTCCACAGATTTGAACATTCAATACAGGCCTTTTTGCCTTACGATCGGCAGTGGATTAAACAAAGGGTATTTCAACACCTGAAGAAACTAGCACATTGAGACAATTATGAACTGCTGCAGCTGTTCTCAATAACATTCTAAACTTCTGCTGCATACTATCAGGTTAAAAAGGCACTTGTATGAAGTGCAGAAATTTGTCTCGTCTTATCTGCCCCGCATATGATACCGGGGTTTCTGTGATACACGAATCCATACTTCCCTGTGTGCATCTGTGTCTAAAGGGAATTTGATTGTGTTTTCCCCATCCTTTACAGAAAGTATCTGTTATGGTCTACAAGATCATTGCCTGATGAGCTGCATTGTTTTGGGATAATGCAGAACCTTGATTGATCTTTAACTCAAAGTCTAGTTATTTCATGGGCATGCACGGTTATCTTAATTTAACTTAATAAACGAAATTCTATGAGTGAAAAGTACGTATTATTGAATGAAGTTTAAGGAGTTAATTACATTAATAGCACATTAGAGTGTTGATTTAAGCATCTTGTTAACCTGCATTTTATTTTGTCACTTCGAGGGTTGTTTTCATTATTTTTGGACTATCTAATATTTTAAAACACGTGTTTCAGTTTTATTTAAAAAATTATTAAAAACTATTTCTCAATTTTTTTTATTGAAAATAATGGAGGCATAAACTAGTGGGTGACGTTGATATTGATGTGATGGTCAAAACCAAAACGTCCGTCGACTTAATCATACACACACATATATCTTTATATATATAATAGTCGATAGATTAAAATTAACTCATAAATTATCATTTAAATGCAATATCTTATGTAGTCTAGTGAAACATATAAAAAATTAACATTAAAATGAAAAAATAAAATTGAGTAAATTAATGCATACTTTTTACGTTGTAAATTTTCACGTCGGATGGCAGTAAAAAAAGGAAAAAAAAATATAAACAGGGATGGTCAATGGTAGAGGAAGGTAATTCTGGCTCCGTACAAAAGGTAAAAAAACTGGTGACCGACGAATAAGAGACGTACCGTGACACCACAATTCGTAACAAGCGGTAAGGGTAACATGAATTATTATTTTTTCCCGGGTTTCTCTTGCTTCTGCTCTTATGCACTGGAACTCAAATCTGCTCTTTTTTTCTTCTTTAATCTCCGCCCGTAGTCTTGTTATCGCGCCACCGTTCCCACCGGAAACCACTTTAAACCTCCATACCTCATCCTTCCACTCTGCCGGAACCCTAGCACTGATTCCGCGTTTCCATTTCCATTTCCGTTTCCGTTGTAAGTTTTCTCTATTCATTCTTTTGGACCAATTGTACTCTGTGCTTCGATGCGGAATCATCTTTTTTTTTTTTTTTTTTTTTTTTTTTTTTTTAAAAA